CCCGCCCCCGTCCTCCCCGCTCCGCCCCCTCCCCGCCGGCGCCTGCCGCTCCCCGCGCTCGCAGCGCGGGCCTGGGGACCCGGGAGCCCGCCGCCTGGCCGCAGCATGGGGCGCTTCCGCGGGGGCCTGCGGTGCATCAAGTACCTGCTGCTCGGCTTCAACCTGCTCTTCTGGGTGAGACCAGGAGGCGGGAGGGCCGGGCAGGGCAGGGGGCCGGGCGGCGGGCGCCGGGCCGGGGTCCCCGGGGAGCTGACTGCGGCGTCCGAGTCGCGCTCCTGGGGAGGGCAGGGTGCTCAAACGCGGAGGCGAGGGGAAGGCAAACAAAGAGGGAGGGGAGGGATGGAGGGGAGAGAACGGGAAGACCGAAGGTTGATCAATGAGAAATCGTGAGAAGGGGAGAGACACCGTGTGGCTCGTCCCTGGAAGAAACCCCCACCTGCCTTGGTTTTTATCTCCCAGCTGGTGACCCCAGGTGCGGGGACCCAGCCTCTCCTCACTTCCGGAGGGCTTGGGGCCCTGGCGGTCCCTGTTCCCCTCCAGCCTCCCGTGCACACACCCCCTTCTCTGCCTACCAGCTGGAACCAGGGCCTGGCCATGGTGTTGGGAGAGAAACCCCTGCCCTGGGGCTGCCTGGGGTGGTGCTCCATTCGAGTGTGTGGACACACCACCTGGCTGCGATGGGTTTGTTTAGGAAATTGGAGATAGGGATGAAAATTGTGGTGGGGAGGGGGTCGTCCTTTTTCTGGGCATCAGGGAGGGGTGCCGCTGGGTGAGAGGGGGTGGTGAGTGCTCTGGGAAGTGGGTGGGGAATGGAGGGGCTTCTAAAGGGCGGCAGCATCTCTCCACAATCCTCAGCGCAGCCTCTGCTAAATACTAATTCTCCCAGAGATGATCTCATTCAACTTTTCAGGGTTGGATTCAACCGACAGCATTCCCAGGATTCATGGTTCACAGAGAGAGAGGATCTTGACCCTTGTCTCCTTTATTACTGAGACAAGGATAGAGCTAGACTAAACCTACATCCCTGGATACCCTGTCCCAGGCCCTGGAAGACTGTGAGATAAGGTCCGAAAATTGTCTTTTCTGCACATTTCCTCTTGGGCTTTCTTAGGGAAATGTCAGCCAGTGTAACTGCTCATCTAGACCCTGAGGGAAAATGTAGGTCTTGCTTTGGATGAAGAGATTTGAGAGCAGCCAGGGACGGGGTGCTTTGAAACCACTGCGCTGGAGGAGATGGCTGTTCTATCTGCTCTGGGGGAAGTTGTCTTCCCATTATTGCAACTAATTAATTATTGAATGATGGGCTCCACTTTTGTCTGCCAACCCATTAGCCTGGATGCCTGGGTGACTCCAGCAACTCCAAGCTCTTCAGCATCCTTCAGCTGTGGAAGGTGTGAAGGAGGTACCTCCCGGACCTCCCCTGAACTTTAAAGAGACACATGGCCTTTGTTCCCCTGGGATTTACATCAGGCATACTATAGGGAGGGACATTTCTGAAGACCATTTATGTTGTATTTTTTAGGATTCTGGCTTAATTTCAGAAGCTGTTAATGATAGATGTCATGATCCAGTGACACCCTTCACTCTCATTGCTTATGAATTCAAAAGAAGTTTTAAACCTGAGGAGGAATTCTTAGTCTGGGTTCAGTGCTTATTTAGTGCCTGATATTGTACCAGCCTTTCCAGTGATAGTTGGAAGCATTCACTGAATGTTTCCAACATGTCAGGGAGAGTGCTCAGCATATTATATTCATTATGACACTTAATCCTCACAAGAGTCCTGATATACACATACTATATTATTTTGTTGTTGTTGTTTGTTTTCTTTTTATCTGTTGTGGGTTTTTGTTTTCTTTTGTTTTGTTTTTGCAATAGAGACAAGGTTTCACCATATTGGTCAGGCTGGTCTTGAACTCCTAACCTTGTGATCTGCCCACCTCGGCCTGCCAAAGTGCTGGGATTACAGGCATGAGCCACCATGCCCGGCCTACAAGTACTATTATTATCTCCATTTTTACAGATGAGGAAACAGAGGCTCAAATAGGGTAAGTCACCTAAGATCATGCAGCTAGTGAGTGGAAGGGATGGTATTCAAACTCAGCCTACCTGCTTTTAAGCACTGTGGTACATTCAATTAACCAGTGGTTCTCAAAAGTGGTTCCTGGGCCAGCAGTATCAGCATATCCTGGGAATTTGTCAAAAATACACCTTCTCAGGCTGGGCACAGTGGCTCATGCCTATATTCCCAGCACTGTGGGAGGCAAAGGCAGGCAGATCACCTGAGGTCAGGAGTTCAAGACCAGCCTTGGTCAACATGGTGAAACCTCATCTCTACTAAAATATAAAAATTAGCAGGGCATGGTGGTGGGCTCCTGTAATCCCAGCTACTTGGGAGGCTGAGGCAGGAGTATCTCTTGAACCTGGGAGGGGGAGGTTGCAGGGAGCTGAGACGGTGCCACATTGCACTCCAGCCTGGGCAACAAGAGCGAAACTCCATCTCAAAAAACAAACCAAAAAAAAAACAACAAAAAATCATTCTCAGCTGATCCCAGACTTGCTGAATCAGAAACTCTAGGGGAAAGAGTTTTTAATTTAGCAATTTAATTGAATAAGCCACTCACATAATTCTGATCCATGCCCAAATTTGAGACCCGCTCTATTAAACAGTGATTAAACAAATAATAATTTGTCAATATAAATACAGTTCCCTAAGCTGCTTATCTCACTGAGGAAACAAGACCAGTGGATATCGAACCACACAAAAATAAGACAGCATGGAATCAAGTGACGAGCTTCACACTGTTGACCATAAACACAGTAAGGACAGGAAGTAGGAGCAATGCAGTGTTTGAGTGCCTCCACGTGTTAGCCAGTGAGGTTAGATCAGACCTTTTATGTATGTGATCTAAGTAAGGAGTTAGAGAACGGATCACAGTCATCATGAGGAGGCAGAAAAGTTCTCCTTAAGAAAGAGCTATTTAAGCTGAAGCTTGAAGGACTGGTAGAAAGGAGCTGGACAAGGGTGAGCACCCCCTCCACCAGCAGAGAAGCAGAGCAAGGGGGAGTGTGTGCCACCATCTGACTGTCAAAGCCATCAGGCTGGAGTGCAGAGATCCCAAGCAGGGCATGCCTGCACAAACAGGGTGTACTTGAACAAGTTATTCTTACTTCTGGGCTTGTTTTCCCATCTGTACGATTGGAGTAACAGAAATATTGGAAGGATTAAGAGGGACTATGTAAAGTATATGACCTCAGCTTCCTATGAGCCTAGGATGTAGTAAATGCTCGAAAAATGTTAATTATTATTTTTGCTATCAAGTGCCTGGCACATAGGAAGCATTCAATAAATGTTAGTTCTCTTTCCCCTGATTCCTTTCATGTTGGGGAATAGTATATAAGTTTGTTAAGTGACTTGCAATTTGTCTTCATTTGAGGATAACTACACATTATCTTATCAATTTGTACTTGTGGATTTTCCCCACTAGAACTTAAAACACTCTGAGAGCAGAAATTTTGTTTTTTCTGTTTTGTTCATAGTCGTATCCCCAGTGCTAGGATAGTGCCCAGCATATAGAAGGCATGCAGTGGGAAATGGGGAACTTCCTCTCCCCCAGTTTCATGGGGGTGGGGGCAGGGGCAGCAAGCATAGCCAAGAGGCAGCTGAAACAGACACCTGGTGACGTAGGGGAAAGTCACTGTGTGGGATGGAGTGTCTAGATGCCTGCCTTCACTGTAGCTGAGGGAACCGGATTCCAGAAAAGCCCCACTCTGCCTTCTGAAGTTGTTTTTTCCTGGTTGGAGGGCTTTGTGGGAAGTTTGGGAAAGGGGTGGAGGATAGTTTTCCTGGAAGGCCAGGTTTTAGCTGTGACTAAAGTATAACATTTACACGTGCCCTTAGAAGCTCACATGCCTGCCCCTTTGAGTTACAGAATTCCCTGGGTGACAGCACTTCCTTCCAGTCAGAACCTCACCAGAGGTAAGCATAGAGGCGGGGCAGGGTCGTTTGGTGATCTGCGGTTTAACAAATCAATTTGCAGCCTCCTCTGGCAGCTTGCTTTAAGTTTCCCTAGGCTGTGCTCCTGTTTCATAAACATACAAGCAGACCCTGCCAGAGCCAGCATAGTGCTCCCTGGCCCAGGCTGCTGCCTGTACTCACCACTGAATTTTTAAAAACAAAGTAAAGCCTAGCCATTAACCCCCCTACATTAATTTCTCTTATCGTGAAGCCCCTCCCAACATCTGTCATGTCTAAATTCAGACCCTGAGTTCAGATAGCACGACATATTCCTGTGCCTTTTATTGAAATCACCTTTATTTTTTTCCTATGTTGCATAGCAATATAAATAAAACACTACTCCCCCACCAAGCCACATATGTTGGTTTAAAGGAAAACCTGGATGCTGTTTATTCCTTGGTTTATTGTTGTATGCTCAGCGTTTTCCTATCATTGTGCTGCACTAGCTGCTCAGCGTTACCGACCCACAGGAAGCAGAGCTGCTCATTGTTGAAAAGCAGATGCCATATATGGCAAGTTTGAAGTTGCCCTCCTTTCCTTCTCACCATTATTAATACAGCTTTTGGGGATGCCTAACAGGTGCTTTTAAGAAAGACGGTGTCAAAGAAGTCTAACTCACATGAATCTTATAGAGGCCACCTCCCCCTCTTTCCCAAACTTATTTCAAATAGTAACTTCAAAGCAATCGCCTGTCAGAGAGACTGGATTAGGAAAAAATACCTAAAGAAAGTAATCTTTGGAGACCAGCCCATAAGACAGATAGGAATGTTCTCAGCCTCGCTGTAGGAGAGTCTTTATTGCTGATTTTTGTGAAGGTGGGAAGGGAGCAACAGGGGCCAATGTCGCCTAGTGTGGACCTGGAGAGGGGTCTAGCATTGCTGAAAGGAACAGGGATTCTGCAAGAGGGGACAGTCTGAAGAAGCCACAGCTGTGGTCCCAGGGTTCTGGTGGACCTCGGACAGCCCTGTGTAGTATGGCAATTCAAATCCAGGAGTCCAAAACCTGGGCAGTAGATACTGTCATCACACTACCTGACTTTATTCCTGTCTCCACTATTTACTTCCCTAGGGGACTTCGGGCAAGTTGTTTAACCTCTTTGAGCCTCCATTTTCTCATGTGTATAATGGACATAATAAAGAAGTAATATCAATCTATGCAC